GGCGAAGCCGCGGCGCGCGCGGCGCTGGTGAGGGCTCCCGGCTTTGCGCCTGTTCACCCGCGCGCCTGGTGTCTTCGCACAACGGATGTAGAGTGCTGCACCGCGACCGCCATTACAAACAAACCAGTGCACGATTCGCAGCGGCCCCCGTCCATCGACCCGCAGCACTGCTGAGACTGCCGTTCTTGCCTTCCCGCCGTCAAACCTGCCCGCGCCAGGCCCACCGTGCCACCAATCGACGGCTCAAGGGACAGCAGGTTCCGCCAGGAGGGCCTCAGCCCCACAGACACGTCCCCGCCCTCGAGCTTCAAGGCCGACTCGTCCGTCGACCTGGCGGTGGTTTCGGCGGTTTTTGATGCCGAGGGCGCGCGGCCGCCGGGGGCCGCGGCGGCAGCGCTTGTGCCTGCCGGCGAGCAGCAGCACGAGCAGCAGCCACAGCAGCAGCAGGCAGAGCAGTTGCAGGAGGAGCAGGACAAGAAGCAGGCACCTGAGCAGCAGCATGAGCAGCAGCAACAAGACCTGCAGGAGCAAGAGCAGCAGCAGCCGCAGGCAGAGCAGCTGCAGGAGGAGCAGGACAAGAAGCAGCAGCAGGAGGAGCAGCAGCAGCCGCAGCAACTGAACCAGCAGGAGCAAAGGCAGGTGGAGCAGGAGCAGGAGCACTTGCAGCAAGAGCAGGAGCAGGAGCAGGAGCAGAAGCCGGAGCAGAGGCAGCAGCACGCGGAGGATGCTGTTCCATCAGCGCTGGCGGGCGATGGCGCCGGCGCAGTCGATGCTGGGGAGCAGCGGTCGTCGTCTGTTGTCGCCTTTGAACCCGCCACTATCGCTGACACGAGCGCGGGCGGAGCGCTGCACGACAAAGCTAACCCCAGCGGCGGTGCTGCTGCAGCAGCAACAGCAGCAATGGCAGCACCAGCAGCTGCACACGAAGAAGCGGCAGCTGCCCCAGGGAGCCATCCTCTAAGCCACGACGACATTGTCACGTCCAGCGAGGCGCCAGCACTGTCGCAGGCCATGGACGGCCAAAACAATGTGCCGGAGCATAGCGCCGTGTCAGCTGCGCCTGGCGATGTCACACCCGCCTCACAAGGGCCGCCGGCCGCGGAGGGCGCGAGCGGCCACGAGCAGGCGCCCTCGAGTGGCGCGGTCCTGCAGCCAGGGCCGCAGCCACGGCGTGAGGAGGAGGCCATTGCTGCAGTTGACGCCGCGGCTGATGACGGGGGCGGACCAGGGGGGGAAGAGGTGCAATTTGAAGGGCCCCAGCTGGGCGGCAGCTACCCCGTGCCAGCCCAAGGGGATGAGTCACCCAAGCAGCAAGCGGTCATCAGCGGGCAGCCCGTGTCACCCAAAAATTCGCTGCCAGAGCTGCAGCCGGCGCACACGGCGGCGGCCGCAGCGGGCCTTGATGAGAATGCGGACAGCGCTGAGCTGGCAGCGGTTAGGGAGCTGCGGGAGCTCGGCGCGAGCGCCAGCAGCGCGGGCAGCTGCGCAGGCGCCGCGGCCTGCGAGAGCGCCGGCAGAGGCGTGCCTGTTGCAAAGAAGGCGGGACCAGGAGAGGGGTCCAGCAGCGGCGGGGCCGTGGAGGGAGGGAAGGAGGCGGAGAGCGGCCGGACGCTGGCCAGAGCAGATGCAGAAGACGCATCAGCATCATCGTCATCAGCAGCAGCAGCAGGACAGGAGGAGGCGCGCAGCCCCGGCCCCAACGCTCCGGAGACGCCCGGCCGCGAAGGCAGCGGCGAGCGCGCGCTAGGCGCGGGCGCGTCCCCGCCCACGCCCCCGCGCAGCCAGGGAGGTCTGGCCGCCTCCCCGACGCGCGAGCGGGGCTCGCTCGACGGCGCCGCGCGGTCCTTGCAGGACGAGTTGCAGAGCGCTGCTGCTACAGGCTCGGCAGATGCGCCGTCGGCCCAGGACGCCGCCGCGGCAAACGGCGCCAGGCGCGCCAGCAGCAGCGGTAGTGGCAGCGGCGGCATACTCAACGCGGCTTCCGCAGCCATTAAGCTGGTGCTTGCCCGCAATCGCGCGAAAGCGCAGAAGAAGTCCCGGCGCTCAGGCGCAGCCGACGCGGCGAAGGCAGCTGCGGCCCCCCTCGACGGCGCCCCGCAGTCACCTCCGCAGGCCAGCGCCGCCGCCGCCGCCTCCCCGGCGCGACGGGCGTTCGGAAATGGGCCCGTCTCTCCAAGGCGTGCCGAGCCCATTGCTCTAGAGTCCCCCAAACGTCCGTGGCACTAGCTGGAATGTGCTGCCAGCGCCGCTGTGCCAACTTCCTTGACTGAGAGGGTCCTTGCCAGCCAACTGACCCCTGACATAACTCCCTGCACCCTGCTGCTGTTGCTTGCTTTTCGGTCGAAACACAACTTGCTGAAGCCCTTTCAAGAGAAGTTTGCTGCCATCTGTTTGACTTTGCACATGTTTCTTGGGCTGCGCTTGGCTTCCGCCGCCACCGCGGCCGCGCTGGTGCTTGCAATGTTTCGGAGGGCTGGGCGCCCTGGGCCTGTCTGGCAGCTCGGGCCCCTTTGTCGCCGCGGCAGCCCGCGCGCAATAATGGCCGATTTTGAATGGGGCACTGGCAACTGCCAAAGTTGGCGCCGCCTCCAGCGTGACTGCGGAGGTTTTGACCGGTTTTGCTGTTTGACCCTTTGACTGCTCCGAGCCTGTGTACGAGTGACATGATGGCGGCGGTAGGTGATGGCCAGCGCCCCTCTCCCATCATCCCTGGCACCAAGCCTCCTTGCGAAAATGCGGCTCACCATGTACCTTTTGTCATTTCATGCCGTCTGCGCGCGCGCCATCCTTGGCCCGTTCACACTCACAATTGATTCGTTTTGGATTCAGTCTGAGAGCAACGCACACCGCAGTAATCTGCTCTGGCAGCAGAGGCACCACTGCTGTAAAACAACCCGGTGCTGCGTGCAGCGTTCCGGTGGCAGTAAACGTCCAGCATCAGAACATCACATACGGTATCCATCTACTTGACAGGCAGGCACCGTTCCCGCAGTGGCACTTGATGTGCGTTATGCAGCTGCTCAGTGTGTCGAGTACTAGTGAGTCATGCATTAGTAAGCAAGTCGTGCATGCACACCACCGTCCACATGGGCGGCAGCTATCGGATGCACGATGTGCCTCAAGCGCAACTGCAAGCGTACCACAAGCTGCCGCATATGGCTTGCAGCGGCAGCGGCCGTTCTGGTGCACATTGACTGGGGCGCGGCAAAGCACTATGTCGACATTGCTGGCGAGCAGCAGCAGCAGCGCCCTCTCTTGTGCGCAAAGGCTGCTCGGGAGTGATTTTCCAATCACTCATTCACCCCCCCATTGACTCATTCACCCCCCAGGATTTGCGCTGATAGATGGGTGACGCGAGCATAAAACTGGTCGTTTTTCCATCATCATGTATGCATGGCTGGGTCAGTGCGCTATGTACATGCGGTGATGCCCGGGTCGGGGTCATCCGCGCCCATGAGCAGCGCGAACTTTGTCGCATGCGGCCGCGGGTGTACGGTACGGGTGCCGCACCCGCCTTGACTACCGGTACCCTGTCATGTGTATTAATGTGATCGTTACACACACTGCATCTGCATATATTGAGCTATTTCAAAAGGCACGGAGCACAAAGCAGCAGTGCTGGCGGTGTGCGCACAGCTGGTGGTGTAAAGCTGCTGCACGTTCAAATTGGCGGGCACCAGTGCGCCACACACTGTCATCGCCAACAAGACCAGATAACTGTCATATACCAATTGGAATCCAATCCGCAACTCCAGCTGAGATTGTTGGCCCGCTGAGCTCTGACCGAGGCGCTACACATCTCGCGCGTGGGCCCAATCAGGGCGCGTTCAACTCATAAAGAGTATCAGTGCAATATGTGTTTCTGAAAACTTCCACTGCCGCACCACGAGCGTTCAACCACCAGCATGAGCGCGGGCTGCGCAATGGGGCAGGAGGAGCAGCGCTCTATGCGTAGAAAGGTGGCAGCAGAGTATATAACTAGCGTGACGGGATGTGTGGTGCCGCACACATGCGACGGCGCTTTTCGGGTGGCGCTGCAGGACGGTGTGCAGCTGTGCCATGCGCTGAACAGCACCTTTCCCGGAGCGGTCCCCAAGGTGGGATGAGATGAACCACCGTACGTCAAATGCGCCAGATGATCTTGGTGCTGACGCATGGTTCAGGGGGCTGCAGTGCTTGCAAGCGTGCCCTACGACAGCTGAGGGAGAGTCAAACCTTTTGGAGGCGCCGACCGGCCCGACGCCAACCGCCGCCTGCACCTTCATGACATGCACAGTCACCCCTGGCATCCCAAGACGCGTCCGCACCTGTGTCTGGGCATGCAATGGACCATGTGCACCGCCGCCCTACATGCATTGCAGGCGCTCACACCCGATGACATTGAGCCGGGCCCGGCCGGGCTCGCGCGCCAGCGCCAGCACAACGTGAGCCGCTTCCTGGCAGCTGCCGGGCGGCTGCTGCCTCCGGACTGCGTGTTCACGCAGGCGGAGCTGGATGCGGACTGGGAGGCGGAAGAGCCGCGCGTCGCGGACTGCGTGCTGTCCCTGCGGTCTGCGGCAGCCGGCGCCGCTGCGGGCGCACAGGCGCTGCACTCGGGGGCCGCACAGTCGCCGCTTTCCGATACCGCGCTGCGACGCCAGCGCGAGCAGCAGCAGCATGCGCTGCCGCCCTGTGCGCGCAGCAGCAGCGGCAGCAGCCCTTACGGCTGGCAAGGCCAGGTCACTGCCGAGCCGTCCACGCCAGGCCACAGCGGCGGCGCGCCAACGCCGTTCGCGGTGGTTGCAGGCAGCGGAGGCAGCTTCAGCGCTGCACGGCCGCCGCTGGTAGGAACGTTGCCCGCGTGCGGCCTTCATATGGGCGGCGGCGACAACTTCCGGCCGCTGGCGTCTGGCTTGCATGGGCTGGTGCAGGCAGACTCGCCTCTGCAACACCAGCAACCGCGCAACCACCACCAGCCGACGCACCTGCAGCGGCGTGGCAGCTCCCCGGCGGCGTCGCCTGCGCCACAGCAGCAGCGTGCGCCTTTGCAGCAGGACCACCAGCAGCAGCACCAGCAGCAGCAGCAGCACAACCAGCGGCAGCACTCCCGGCAGCCGTCCCCGGCGCCTCATCCTGACCACCCCCAACAACAGCCCTCGACGCCGCCTGCCAACGGGGCTGTTGGCCCCAGCCCTATGCGGAGCGCGCAGCCTCCGGCCGTCGCCGCTGCGCCCGCGGCGGCGCCTGCCGGCTTCGGCCCCAACGCGCCAGTGGCAGCTGCGGGCCTGCCGCCGGCGGCGGCCGGCGTCGGCCTGGGTTTGGGCGCCCTGGGCGGCGCTGCGCCTGGCGGGGAGATGCGGTCAATGCAGGCGGTGGCCGGCGTAACGCGGCTCATGCAGCAGTGCAGCGGCATGCTGCGCGAGCGTATGTTCATGGGCGGCGCCGGCGGCGGCGCGCAGGCGGCGGCAGGGGCGGCGGGGCGGAGCCCGGCCACTTTCGACCCCCAACAGGTCTGTCCCTTTGAATCCTCATCCGCCCAGCCTCGCCCTGCGGCCCACTTTCGCGTGCGTGCAGCCAAGCAGCCAGGCTTCCGTCTGTCACCCACAAAACCCGCGCCGCGCCGGCTCCCGCCGTCCACCACCACCACCATCCCTCGGTACACACCTTGCTGATTCCGCACCGCGCCGCCGCCGCCGCCCTTTCGCCGCTGCCTGCGCCCGCAGGCGCTGTTCCCTGTGCTGGACGCGGTGTTGGGCCAGATCACCCAGGAGTATGAGAAGCGGCTGCTGCAGAAGGACCATGAGCTGACGAGCGCGCGCGAGCGGGCGGCGGCGGCGCAGCGGGACGCCGCGGAGGCGCAGGTGGGCGGGTTGTACGCGCAGGGGTGGGCCCTGCTGTGTGGCGGGTGCCGGACTGGGGACTGTTCGGGCGTCAGGCGGCGCCCGCGCTGCGGCGCGGCGGCTCGCGGGGCGCCAGGCAAGCGTATGACGGGCGGCGGGTGGCGTCGGGACAGTTACGGGCAGGAGTGCTGCTCGGAGAATTTCAGCTGGCTGGAGCTGCAGCCGAGGCAGGGGCCTCCTTTTGAAGCCGCCCCTGCTCGCCGCCGCCGCAGGCCCGCCTCCAGCAGGCCCAGTCCGAGTCCCGGCGCGAGGGCGCCGCCGCCGCGCGCGCTGCCGCCGCCGACGCGACCTCGGCGCTGGCGGCGGCGCGCGGGGAGCTGGAGGCGGCGCGCGCACTGCTGCGGGAGCGCGAGGGGGAGCTCGTCGTTCTGAGGGGCGCGGCGGACGAGGGGTTGCGAGCGCGGGCGGCGAGGGAGGCGGCGCTGCAGGGCCAGCTGGAGGAGGCCAGGTGCGCTGCAGGACACACGCGCGCATGTGCACACATGTGTGCGCGTTCGTGCAGTATGTCTGCGCACACACGTATACAGGCACGCGCGCACGCACACACACACACACACACAAACACACATGAATACATGTGGACACACGGACACACAGAGGCTAACATGCACAAACACATGCACATGCACGCACGTGCGTGCACGCACACACACTCACGTGCGTGTGCAATTGTGCATGCGCATCATACGGGCTCCAGCCCTGGCCAGTTCCCCGCCAAGCTCGACGGACGCTCCCCCCGCCGCAGGCGCCAGCTGGCGGCGGTTGAGGACCTTTCGGCGCGATACCGGCGCGTGGTTGAGCAGAACAGGGCGCTATACAACGAGGTGCAGGACCTCAAGGGCAGCATTCGCGTGTTCTGCCGCATCAGGTGGGGGCGCGGTAGCTACGATGCATCAGGCGTTGCCAGGGGCCCTGCGGCAGCTGAGGCATGACAAATTATCTGGGCCCCCGCAGCAGCCGAGGAATGAGGCTGGCCTGGGC